CTGCCCCCTATTGGGGTAGAGGGCAGGCGATTAGGGGCAGGGCCAATGGAGGGGAGGGGCTGCGGGCCAATTGGGGTGGTGGGGGCCCATCGGGGATGGGGTTGGCCAGCCAGCCTCATCCCCAGATCGGTCCAGTTCGCTGGCCACAGTGGGCATCATAGTGACCAGTCATTCCGGGGTTATGGTTGCTGGCTTTTTATATATGTAGATGATGCATCACAGGTAGTACTAGTTAGACAGTAGAAGTACCAGTCAGACAGGCTGTTTCTAGCTCCATAATTTACCAGCCTGTGTGACCTTGAACAAAAGTTACTAGCACTTTTTTTCCTATGCTTCTGTTTCCTCATCAGTTAACATGAGAATAAAAGTGCTTCATAGGGCCCGACTGCGGTGGCTCAGTAGTTGGGCATCATCCTGTGCACCAAGAGGTTACTGGTTTGATTCCTGGTCAGGGCACATGCCCAGGCTGTGAACTCGATCCCCATTAGGGGGCATGCATGAGGTAGCAGATCCATGATTCTCTCATCATGGATGTTTCTCTCTCTCTCTCTTCCTCGCTGATAATCAATAAAAACATTTTTTAAAAAGTGCTTCATACCTCTGTTAAGAAATATAAAGTGCTGCGCTAGCCAGTTTGGCCTCAGTGGATAGAGCAACAGCCTGTGGACCAAAGGGCCCCGGGTTCAATTCTGGTCAAGGGAACGGCCCCGGGTTCGATTCCAGTCAAGGGAATGTATCTTGGTTGTAGGCTCCTCCTCAGCGAGCCCTGACAGGTCTCGTTGAGGAGGCAACCAATCAATGTGTTTCTCTCACATCAATGTTTCTGTCTTTCCCTCCCTCTTTCACTACCCTAAAAATCAATGGAAAAATATCCTCAGGTAAGAATTAACAACAAAAATAAAAAATAAATAAATAAAACATTTTAAATTATTTTAAAAGAAAAGAAATATACTCAAGAATAAGACAGTATGCCCTAGTCAATTTGGCTCAGGGGATAGAGTGTGGGCCTGCAGACTGAAGGGTCCTGGTTTGATTCCGGCCAAGGGCACATGCCCAGGTTGCAGGCTCAATCCCTAGTAGGGGACATGCAGGAGGCAGCCAATCAATGATTCTTTCTCATCATTGATATTTCTATCTCTCTCTCCCTCTCCCTTCCTCTCAGAAATCAATAAAAATGTATATTTTTAAAAAAGAAAAGAAATATAAAGTACTTGGAACAGTATCTGGCAATGGTTAAGTATAATGGAAGTGTTAACTACTATTAGTATTAGTAATAAACTAGAGGCCTGGTGCATGGATTCATGCACCAGTGGGGTCCCTTGGCCTGGCCTGCGCCCTCTCGCAATCTGGGACCCCTCAGGGGATGTGGACTGCCAGTTCCGGCCCGATCCCTGCAGGCCAGGCCGAGGGACCCCACGGTGCACCAAGACTCTAGTATGCATATAAGATCTTTGGTTAATCTCTTCCCGCCCTTCTCCCCCTCCCCTCTGAGTCATCAGTCTGTTCCAGGTTTCCTGTGCGTTGAATGTCTGCCCCCTGGTGGCCAGTGCACATCATAGCAAACGGTCTAACAGTCAATGGTTGCTTAGGCTTTTATACAGATGATATTGTTGCAGTAGTATTAGGAGGCTCAGGTAAATTATGTTCAGCTCAGTGAAGAAAAGCACCAAATCAAAGAGGACTTTAAAATTAGAGAGGTCACTAAGTTTTGAAGCCACATCAATTATGTGAATAAAGTGTATCTAGGGGTTATGTGTATACCATTCACTGATGATGAAGGTGGAGGGACTGACAACACACTGAAAAATGTACAAAAACAAGTCAAATACAGACACTACTAGATAAGTTTTCATAAACATACTAAATTCAGAGCAGTCAAAGCACTAAACTTTTAGTAAATTCTTGATTACATGGGTGTATGCATAATTTCATGTATATTCACACAGCTGTAATATTCAAATAGTTAGCAATCATAACTAACTTTTCCTGAATTTTAACCTCACTTTAGAACAGCTCTACAATTTCCAAAAATGTCTACAAATGTTTTACACTACCATGTATTTAGTATGCTAGAATCATTGCTTAACTGAAGCTATTAGAATGTGGCCTAAAATTAAAATGCTGTCTAGAAATACTTTTATAACATTCAAAGAAATGTTAGCAAAATAAACTCTGCAACAGTTCAGTCAATTTACATTCAAGAATATTGTTCCTCTGCCTTGGCCGATGTTTCTAAGTGGTTAGAGCATCTGCCCAGGCACTGAAGGGTCTCGAGGGTTTGATTCAAGTCAAGGGCACGTACCTGGGTTGCAGGTTCGATCCCCAGCTGGAGTTGGGTGCGTGCAGGAGGCAACCAATCAATGAGTCTTTCTCACATCTACCTTTCTTTCTTTCTTTCTTTTCTTTCTTTCTCTCTCTCTCTCTCTCTCTCTCTGTCTCTCTCTCTCTGTCTCTCCCTTTTTCTCTTTTCTTCCCTCCCTCCCTTCAACTCTCTTGAAAAATCAAGGGGGGGGGGGAATATCCTTGGGGGAGGATTAACAAACAAAAAAAAAAATATTGTTCTCATGTCTAAGATTTTTCTGAGATTTACCAAACATTCCCAGCAAATTAAGAGGTAGCCAAGCAGTGGAAAGAGACACAAAATTTAACTTTTCAAATTACTCAATATGTCTATGCCTCAGATTTCTCATCAGCAAAATGGAAAAGGCTGGAATTGATGTCATCTTTTCATCTCTAAAACCTACATAGCTCTATAAGTTGATAACGGCTATCATGCAAGATATTGTATAAAAATAGCTTCTCATCTGTTAGCATATTTTGTTTTAAGAAGAAATGGAATAGTGTATCTATACACAGAAGTCACTGAAATATGCTTAGGTAACCATAATCAAATGACACCTGGATTCATTTGTCTCTTTTTCTGCTCACTTTTGATCAACTTAGTTACAAATACATAAATAAATATATGTAAATATATGTTAGCTGACTCAAAACTAATTCTCACATAAGATTTCCACAAATATAAAACTGCATACCCTTAGTAACAGAGTTCATTTACTATCAGCTGAAAGGCAATCTTTAAGTTCAAAATGAAAAGCAGATTTTGCACTGCATTCTCTCCAAAGCCTGCTTTGGCTACCTATTATTTTTAAAGAATTGAAAACTATGTACAAAGTGTATTCTCAGCAGAACACAGGCACTGAAAGCAAAAACTGGAAAGATACTCAGATTTTTTAAACAAATATAACCAACACACTTTTTATTTATTTATTTAGAGACTCTGGCTAGGATTGAGAACAAGAGTCACTTCTCATGGGACAAGACTATGTAATGCAATGTTTTTCTCAAAATTATCACTTGATACTAATTTCTCAGAAAGAGATGGAGAGTATTCCCATCCATTTAAAGGAGGAAACAGCTCATGTTTTCTAATTTACAGTAATCCCTAAACATTTAGTTAGCTATCTCAAAAAGTTAATAAGCCAAGAAAATTAAGTTAGGTTTTTTTACTGTGAGAAAGTACTGTTCTTAAAATTGTATCATAGTGACCTCCGCGCGTCTCCGTGGTGTGGCCTCCCGCGGTCTCCTCTGCAAATGGGCTCCCTGGCCTAGCGCCCCCGTTATCCCGTTATCCCGTTATCGCGCGCCGAGGTCCGCGAGGGGTCGCTGCCAAGGTTTCCACCAGTGCACAAGCAAGAGCATGGCCGCCATCCCCTCCAGCGGCTCACTCGTGGCCACCCACGACTACTACTGGCGCCGCCGTGGTTCCACTTCCAGTAACAGCTCCTGTGGAAGTGCCCAGTACCCTGGGGAAGCCATCCCCCACCACCCGGGTCTCCCCAAAGCCGACCCGGGTCACTGGTGGGCAAGCTTCTTTTTTGGGAAGTCCACTCTCCCATTCATGGCCACAGTGTTGGAGTCCCCAGAGCACTCGGAATCTCCCCAGGCCTCCAGCAGCATGATCACCTGTGACCTGGCTCGGGAAGCCACAAGGAAGCAGCCTGGCGGCCAGCCTGGCAAAGTCAACGCTGGGCCCCCATCCTGAGTAGCCAGCACCACAGCTGGGAAAATTTATACTTCAAAGACTGCAGAATGATATCAAAATAAAAGAGATTATCATTAAAGGTATTCTCTTTTGCCACAGAATTCAAGTCACGGCTGGCAAACAGTCAGTTATACAGCTGATTCAGTTAAGATGTAAGAACCAACTCACCAGAGTGCTTTCTTGGGTCTTTCTGTTTGGTTTTTATAATCAGAAAATTTTACAGAGTCAGGAAACAAAGGAGGAAAGGAGCAAAAAAAAAAAAAAAAAAAAAAAAAAAAATTGTATTATAGTTATTTGAAAGGTGACTAAAAATGGTTTTGTAGGTTCCATGTAGTTTATTATATTACCATCTAATAAATAATGGCCTATAATCTGCTTTGTTTCTAAAATGTTTATACTTACCTGTAATCTGCTTTCTTTTCTAGGATATTTGTCCTCAAATATAACAGTTGAGGGTCAACAGCAGTTCAAATTTAATGACTGCCCTATAAAAATTTCTAATGCAGCCCTAGCCGGTTTGGCTCAGTGGATAGAGCATCAGCCTTCGGACTGGAAAGGTCCCAGGTTCGATTCCGGTCAAGGGCACATGCTGGGGCACATGTAGGGGGCATGCAGGAGGCAGCCAATCAATGATTCTCTCTCATCATTGATGTTTCTATCTCTCTTCCCCTCTCCCTTCCTCTCTGAAATCAATAAAAATATATATTAAAAAAATAAATTTAAAAAAATTTCTAATGCAACAAGTTTATCATATGTATATGTAAGTAAGCGTCTTAAAGTAAAGACAACAAAGATTCATTTTGCATCATTGAAGAAAATTATTTTTCTAACAAAAATAATAAAGCATGCAAGCATGTGAATTAGTATAGATCTAATCGTGTAATTTTTTTTTAAAGAATAGGTTATTGATTTTTAGAGAGAGAAGGGAGGGAGAGAAAAACATCAATTTGAGAGCACAAATCTTCTGCCTCCTGCACCACCCCCACCCCCCCACCCCCTAATGGGGAATGGA